ATATATATATATATATGCACAATATTGTCCCCTGACCATTATTTAATCAAATCCTGTGATATATTCACCGAACCTTAGAACATTAACCTCTGATAATTGAGATGTTAGCCAGTCTGCCTAATTTTTTCCATCGGTTTTGCCACTAACTTTGCATGCATTTAATGCATGTCAAATCTCTGCACAATTGTCACTTTAGTCCGGACGTGGATGGGTTCGGCGCCTTCAGCTCTTTAGAAGTGGTCTTCGCTCATTGTCAGTAAAGCACTCGTCTTCATGCTGCAGTCTTCCTTTCATGTAGTCAATCCCGTCAGCGGAGTTATTTGACTGTTAAGGGTCGACGTCCATGATGTGCATTCTACTGATCATTCTGTACCTTCATGTCTCAATTATTTTATGCTTTAATTGCGCCATGTGGTGCTCAGCTATTGCCTTATGTGGGGTTTAAGGTTTTACCCCAAAACATTTGCCCCTAAGGTCGAGGCTATCTCGTAGGTTGTCTCTGTTGGGAATAGTGTCCTAGAAGCATGAGATGTAATAGGATATTTATTATTTAATTAATAAAAGAGTTTATTCATTATTTTATGTGCATATATTTATGAATATTTTATGAATATCAAATGAAAATTTCGTGATTGTTTATATAACCTTAAATAGAGTATATAAGTGTTATATACGAGAGGATAATATTTAAGGATAATAATCAAACACATTGTTCATGATGAATTTAATTAAAGTTCAGAATCTTTAATTAAAACATTATTAATACATGTCATACCCATTTAGAATGGAACAGTGTTATCCGCACTGTTAATATGACGAGATATTGAATGAGTGTATTTCGCATAATAAGATCATGTGGAACAATGACACAGACACAATATGAATTTCTAATAATTTTCTTTAAGCATAGAAATTCTAATTAAGTCTACCGATGGTCATATATAGGATGATCTTAATCCTGAGTTCTTAACAAACTCCTATTAATGGATTTATGTCTTTTGATTTACTCGGTACGGATTCTGAGACCCTGAATCTTATTCCTTGTATTTTAGAGACATAATAAAATACGTAGCTGGGAATGTGATTATACGAGATGAAATTCATTCCTCATTGAGAAAGAAGTAGATAAATAATTCTCTTGAGTGTTGATTCGGTACTTGGATTAGTAAGAGCGCTCTGGTTCATGAATGTGTTTTATAAATCACTATCCATTAGAGAATCAATGGTACTCAAGG